ACTGTGGGAGAAAGACTTAGCGGTAAGGAAGGGTTCAGGAAAGATTTGGGTACCGAATTACGCCCCGCTACGGCAGATCCTATTAGAGGAATTTCATGACGTACCTTACGCGGGACATTTCGGGAGCAACAAGACGTTAGCGGGAATAGCGAAGTATTACTACTGGCCCCGGATGGCAGCAGACGTGCAGCAGTTTGTCACCTCATGCGACACGTGCCAGCGGATGAAGAGTAGCAAGCAGAAAAAAGCAAGGTTACTGGAGCCTCTACCCATACCGGAGCAGCCATGGCAGGTCGTTAGCCTCGACTTCATCACAGGACTTCCCTCGACCTCACGGGGACACGATTCCATCCTCGTAGTAATCGATAAGTTCTCCAAAATGGGTCATTTCATACCGACCAACGCCACAGCTATAGCTGAAGCAACTGCTCGCCTCTTCTTCGACCGCATCATCACCATCCACGGCATCCCCGCTACACTTATCTCAGACAGAGACCCAAAATTCACAAGTAAGTTCTGGAAGGAGCTTATGGGACTGCTGGGGACCAAGCTTGCCATGTCTTCAGCATACCATCCCCAGACTGACGGACAGACGGAGCGACTCAACCAGGTGGTTGAACAGTTACTGCGTACAGCTTGCAAAGATGACATCAGCCACTGGGACACACAGTTACCGACCTTAGAGTTCGCTTACAACAACGCCTCACATGCGGCCACAGGGAAAACCCCTTTCTTCCTGTGTTACGGACGGGAACCACTTACACCACAGCAGCCAACCACACCGGCACACGTCCAAGCTGCACACGACTTCGTCACCACCATGCAGCAGCTATGGGAGAAGACTCAGCGGCGTCTCACCACGATGCAGAACTCCCAGAAGCAGTATGTCGATTGTTAGCGACGAGATCACTCAGTAGCAGTCGGAGATCAGGTGCTTCTTGACACGCGCAACTTGAACCTGTCTCACCTACCATCCAAGCTCCGGCCTCGCTTCTGTGGTCCTTTTCTCGTGGAGGCACAAGTGACACCAGTTACATTCCGCTTGCGCTTACCAGATACGTGGAAGCTTCACAATGCTTTCCATGTTCAGCTACTGAAACCCTACAAGGACCCCAACCAACAGTTCCAGGGACGGCAGCTACCGCCACCTCCACCTGTTCTTGTGCAGGATGAACCAGAGTACGAGATCGAGCGCGTTCTCACTCATCGGCGCCGTGGCGGCAAGACCCTCGAGTTCCTAATACGCTGGAAGGGATACGACCCCACTGAGGACAGTTGGGTTGCAGAAGCTGATATGGGCAACGCACGCCGTGCTCTCAGGGACTATCTTGTCAAGCAGGGTGTATCTCACGCCACCCAGATTTGAGGGGGGGACGTGTGAGAGTACGACGGCTTATGCCAACTATGCATGTCTGCCTTTACTTGATTATGCTACTTCTAGCTTATGTTTATTTTATGCATGCATGAATTGCTTGATTTCCTAGGCTAGGTGCTTTCCTATATTTTATTATAGTTATAGCACTGAGCCAGGTCGCATAACACCTGGTTACTGCCCCTTGTGTCGAGCCTATATATAGCCTCGTGTTGTACCCAGGTGATCTATTCAATTCAAACTCTATTTTCTGAGCTCGATCCTAGATCCTCACAAAAAGCTTCCAGTCAGACGGGGGAGGAGAATACCAGTCACAACGCTTCAAGCAGTATTTGGCAGAAAGACGAATCAAGAGACTCATCTCTCTCCCCTACGCCCATCAACAGCAAGGCGTAGCAGAAATGATGAACAGGTAACTCCGGACCCCCATGCGCAAGCTACTACGTGGCATGCTGCTACCCAACCACCAGTGGCCCGAAGCAATGGACCATGCTGTGATGCTGCACAACTTGCTTTCGTCGTCATCACTCCCGAACAACGCCTCACCGCATCTGCTGTGGACAGGGAAATTGGGCAACACAAAAATGTTACGAGTTTTTGGCTGCATGGTACAGTATCAACTACACACTGCACGAGCCAGAAGATTTTCGCAATGTGCACAGTGGGAACGACACCTGGGCATCGAAAAACATTACAACGCGTGGAAGATATTTGATGTCTACTTGAAAGAAACAGTGGCAGCACGTGACGTTATCTTCTACGAGCGACTCACCCTCCACACGTACCTGGCAAACCTACGGGCGAACCAAGACCCCAAAGACAGATTTCGTGGCAATCGCGCATTCGCCTCGGCAGCAGACGAAGCTGACTGGGACGAACAAAACGTGGACGGAGCATCGGAGGAAGCCGGACCTCTTCCCTACTGCTCAGTGGACATCCCGATGGATGACGACATCCCTCGCAAAAACATCAACGCCGAAGTCTACTACGACTTCGCCGACAACTGTTACGTTACACCCGCAAGAGTCAATACCGACGAAGCCGAACACGTAGGACCAAATTTCACACCTGACCCAGAAGCGGGAGACGAAGCCGTCTATCCCGAGGACGCAAATCTTCCCCGCTACGCACACATCGGGATGCAGATACTTGGACTTGTCACCGCGGTCCACGGAGCAGCACCACCTAAGGAGCCTACTACTGTTGATCAGGCTCTGGGGGGGGAGCACAGGGAAAAATGGCGTGAAGCCATGGACAAATAATTAAAAGCGCTGGAAGAACGCAACACCTGGACGATCGTACTCATCGGAGTGGCACGCAACAAGACAGTTCTCACCGGGAAATGGGTTTTCCGTATGAAAACAAAGGCAGATAGAACCATTGATAAGTTTAAAGCACGCTGGGTCGTACGCGGCTTCGACCAAGAGCACGGACGAGACTTCACCGAAACGTTCGCGCCGGTCAGCCGGCACACCTCATTGCGGATTCTCCTCACAATAGCCGCCATGAAGCGGAAGAAGCTTCGCCAAATCGACGTCGCCAACGCCTTTCTCTACGCGCCCGTTGATGCTGAGATCTTTGTTGAACAACCACACGGCTCCAACGCAGACCCCAACCAAGTCTGTCAGCTGCTGAAGTCCCTGTACGGCATCAAGCAAGCTCCGAGGCTGTGGCAGCAGTACCTGCACGCCCGGCTAATCCGCATCGGATTCCGGCAACTGCCGCACGATCAAGGGATGTACCGCCTCATGAAAGGCACCGACTACATCCTGCTCATCGTCTACGTGGACGATCTGCTCTACATCGGCTCGACCGACGGCATCACGACCTGGTTCGAAGGGGAGCTGCAGCGGGATCCCACGCTCACCGTTTCGTCTACCGTCACACAGTACCTGGGACTCAATATACAGGAAGAAGAAAACGCGATCCATCTCAATGCCGCGAAATACGCCGACACTATCGCTAAGCGCTTCGGATTGACTCCGACCACCATCACTACGCCGTATCGCTACACCAACGGAAAACGCAATGAAACCTCCGCACCACTCAAGCCCGCCGGCATATGTGACTACCAGCGAAAGCTAGGATGTTTGCTCTTCGCAACCATCACCTGCCGACCGGACCTGTCGTACTCAGCAAGCCAACTCGCCACCCACATGAAGAAACCTGAAGCACAGCATATGGCGGAGCTCGACCGCGCACTCCACTACCTCGTCAGCACCCCGACAATCGACCTGACCTACCACAAGACTGGAACTACAACGCCTAAGTTAATCGGCTACGTGGATGCTGACCACGCCGGCGACTCCGACAACAGGCGCTCACGCACCGGCTACATCTACCGACTCGAGCCTATCGGGCCTATCTCGTGGCAGTCGAGCAAACAGGAATTAATCGCTCTCTCCTCAGCTGAAGCAGAATACATTGCACTCTGCTCAGCCACCAAGGAAGGCCTGTACCTTCGCGAACTGCTGGAAGAAGCGAAGCTGGCTCAGTTACCCAGCTTCTCCCTGTTCTGCGACAACCAGTCAGCAATTCGCATAGCAAACAAGAACGGCTTCGCGAACAGGACGAAACATATCGCCCTGCGATATTTCTTCGTGAAGGACGAAATCGAGAAGGGGAGACTCGAGCTATCCTACTGCCCCACGTCCGAGATGGCAGCCGATTATTTGACCAAGAAACTCTAAAAACAGAAGTTCGAGTACTGCATGCTGCTGACTGGACAGGGCCACGTCACCAGCAGCGACACTCCAAAAGCGAAGGGGAGTGTTGGAAACAAGTGATTTAACGCTTCTTGTGTGTTACGACATCGAACTGTAAACGAGGCGAACTACAGCGAAGCAACGGCGAGTCAACCGAGGAGGTTTACAAAAAAGCAAAAGCCGGAGGTTACGCGAAGGTCAAAGGTCAGCGACCTTTGACTCGACAAATACAGCGCGACAGCAAGGACAAACAACTGACTCGATATTGAGCAGTTGCCCGAGTCGTCACTGTATCGAACCGCAACAGCAACAGTAAAAATAGTTAATGCATCTTTTCGTATTCCTTGTAATCTTATAAAGGTTTGTACTTCCTTTCTTGAATCAATCTATCTTGCCCTCACATACTAGCACAAGGTGGTTCAACACTTTTCATTAAACGCTTTTGCAATTACAACATCTCTACCAAGAGCTTTAGCCTTGAAAGATCCTAAGGGCTTTTCTCAGCCCAACACTAGCTACATACTGTAAATGTTTAGTAATCGGATGAAAGAAACAAATATCTGGCATGACAAACAACTAGAAACGGGACCATACAACTTGACTGCAATGCCATCATGAACCCTCAAATGCACAAATCACTCTAAAAGCCACAAACGTTGGATGCTTCCACCCACCCATTAATAATTGCTCAGACGTTGCTTGATCTACCTACTGCTCAGTTGTGATCGTCCATCCTTTGCTCATGCTGCTGCCATCACCCCTTGCAGCACCAACTCAGAGCCCAATGTTTTAGCACACCCTTCACACCTCAACCTTAACTCTTCACCTTCACTCCCTCCCAACCAACCACTCTCGACTCTTCACTCTTCAATCTTGACTCTTCATCCTCCACTCGTGACTTTCCACTGTTGGGTCGCGAGAGGTCAGTGGTGGTGGTCCTGCAGGAAGCGCAGGCCGCAGTACTTGCAGACAGCGGGCTGAGGGGCGTCCACGTTGATATACTCCACTGGATGGCCCAGGGCCGGGTTGGGACCTGGTGGGGAGACAAGGAAGGGCGGGGGAAGGGGGGAAGGGGAGGAGGGAGGCATCTTAATGAGCAGGGAACGGGCTGAGGGGCGTCCACGTTAATGTACTCCACTGGATGGCCCAGCGCGGGGATGAGCCTGGTGGGCATGGTGGGCGCGATGGGGGAGAGGAAGAAAGAGGCAAGAGGGGGGTAAAGGGGAGGAGGGAGGGGAAGGGGGAAGGGGGGAGGGGGGAGGAAGGGATTGTGTTGATAAGCAGGGCGAAGGCTCGGGGGCATCCACGTTGATGTACTGCAATGGATGGCCCTGGGCAGGAATGGGGCCTGCATGCATGCTGCATGCATGCTGCTTGACAAGTCAGGCATGCATGGGGTACAGCGTGCAGTGTAGGGTGAGGTGCAGTTCAGGATATCAACTCCTCATGCGCCCCCTCCTCCTCCAATCGAACCTCCCCTTCCTCCCCCCACCTCTCCAGTCCAAACCCTCTCTCTCCACTTGCGCTGCTCCTTCCCCTCCTCCACCCACCTCCTCTCTTTCCCCCATGTACCTCCCCGGCAGGCAACGACACGCGAGTGCACGAGGATGGGCGGCACGGCGTTGATGAGCTCCATGGGCGACTCCTGCTCCACCCTCTGCCGTGCGCGGGGCAGAGCAGGGAGCGGAAGGGAGGGGAAGGGAGAGAGGGGGGTTGAACAGTGCTGCACTCCTGTTCCAGCCTGTGTGACGCAGGGAGGCATGGGGAGAGAGGCAAGAGGTGAATGAGGTGTATGCGCGCATGGGGTTCATGAGCTCCATGGGCCACCCCCGCTCCACCCTCTGAGGCACACAGGCAGGCATGGGGAGAGGCAGCACACCCAGGTCAATGCGCGCACAGTGCTGCAGTCACAATGATGCGCGCATGGCGCTGATGCGCTCCATGGCCGATGGGTGCTCCGCCCTGTGGGGGCACGAGGGGCGGAGCAGGGAGGGGAAGCGAGGGGGGTTGAACAGTGATGCATGCACGGTGATGGGTGCATGGGGTTCATGCACGGTGATGGGTGCATGGGATTCATGCACGGTGATGGGTGCATGGGGTTCATGCACGGTGATGGGTGCATGGGGTTCATGCACGGTGATGGGTGCATGGGGTTCATGCACGGTGATGGGTGCATGGGGTTCATGCACGGTGATGGGTGCATGGGGTTCATGCACGGTGATGGGTGCATGGGGTTCATGCACGGTGATGGGTGCATGGGGTTCATGCACAGTGATGGGTGCATGGGGTTCATGCACGGTGATGGGTGCATGGGGTTCATGCACGGTGATGGGTGCATGGGGTTCATGCATGGTGATGGGTGCATGGGGTTCATGCATGCCACAGGCTCTGCCCTCTGATGACCACGGGCTCTGCCCTCTGATGGCCACGGGCTCTGCCCTCTGATGGCCACGGGCTCTGCCCCCTGATGGCCACGGCCTCTGCCCTCTGATGGCCACAGGCTCTGCCCTCTGATGGCCACGGGCTCTGCCCTCTGATGGCCACGGGCTCTGCCCCCTGATGGCCACGGCCTCTGCCCTCTGATGGCCACGGCCTCTGCCCTCTGATGGCCACGGGCTCTGCCCTCTGATGGCCACGGGCTCTGCCCTCTGATGGCCACGGGCTCTGCCCTCTGATGGCCACGGGCTCTGCCCTCTGATGGCCACGGGCTCTGCCCTCTGATGGCCACGGGCTCTGCCCTCTGATGGCCATGGGCTCTGCCCTCTGATGGCCACGGGCTCTGCCCTCTGATGGCCACGGGCTCTGCCCTCTGATGGCCACGGGCTCTGCCCTCTGATGGCCACGGGCTCTGCCCTCTGATGGCCACGGGCTCTGCCCTCTGATGGCCACGGGCTCTGCCCTCTGATGGCCACGGGCTCTGCCCTCTGATGGCCACGGGCTCTGCCCTCTGATGGCCACGGGCTCTGCCCTCTGATGGCCACGGGCTCTGCCCTCTGATGGCCACGGGCTCTGCCCTCTGATGGCCACGGGCTCTGCCCTCTGATGGCCACGGGCTCTGCCCTCTGATGGCTCGCGGCGAGGCGGACGTGCGGAGATATGCATGGGGCAGGACGCAAGACGAGGGGCAGGAGGCAAGACGAGGGGCAGAGAGGAGGGGAGAAAGGCGTTGGGCGGTCCTTTGGTGACGACGCTGCTCTGCCCTCTGATGGCCTGAGGGGCGGAGCGGGGAGATACGCATGGGGCAAGATGCAAGATGGTGAGGGGGAGAAGGAGAAGGAGAGGGAGAGGGAGAGGGAGAGGGAGAGGGAGAGGAAGAGGGAGAGGGAGAGGAAGAGAGAAGGGCGGGGAGGCAGAGTGCATGCGAGACGAGGGGAACGACGGCGAGAAGGATTAGGAGGAGAGGGGACGGAGGAGAATGAGAGACGGCGGGGGAGAGGGGGGGAAGGTTGGACAAGGGAACAGGCAGGCAGGCAATAAAGGAGGAGAGGAAAGGATGGCGAGGAGAAAAGGGGCTGCTTGGGAGTGGCGGAGAAAAGGGGCTGCTTGTTGGAGTGGCGAGGAGAAAAGGGGCTGCTTGTTGGAGTGGCGAGGAGAAAAGGGGCTGCTTGTTGGAGTGGCGAGGAGAAAAGGGGCTGCTTGTTGGAGTGGCGAGGAGAAAAGGGGCTGCTTGTTGGAGTGGCGAGGAGAAAAGGGGCTGCTTGTTGGAGTGGCGAGGAGAAAAGGGGCTGCTTGTTGGAGTGGCGAGGAGAAAAGGGGCTGCTTGTTGGAGTGGCGAGGAGAAAAGGGGCTGCTTGTTGGAGTGGCGAGGAGAAAAGGGGCTGCTTGTTGGAGTGGCGAGGAGAAAAGGGGCTGCTTGTTGGAGTGGCGAGGAGAAAAGGGGCTGCTTGTTGGAGTGGCGAGGAGAAAAGGGGCTGCTTGTTGGAGTGGCGAGGAGAAAAGGGGCTGCTTGTTGGAGTGGCGAGGAGAAAAGGGGCTGCTTGTTGGAGTGGCGAGGAGAAAAGGGGCTGCTTGTTGGAGTGGCGAGGAGAAAAGGGGCTGCTTGTTGGAGTGGCGAGGAGAAAAGGGGCTGCTTGTTGGAGTGGCGAGGAGAAAAGGGGCTGCTTGTTGGAGTGGCGAGGAGAAAAGGGGCTGCTTGTTGGAGTGGCGAGGAGAAAAGGGGCTGCTTGTTGGAGTGGCGAGGAGAAAAGGGGCTGCTTGTTGGAGTGGCGAGGAGAAAAGGGGCTGCTTGTTGGAGTGGCGAGGAGAAAAGGGGCTGCTTGTTGGAGTGGCGAGGAGAAAAGGGGCTGCTTGTTGGAGTGGCGAGGAGAAAAGGGGCTGCTTGTTGGAGTGGCGAGGAGAAAAGGGGCTGCTTGTTGGAGTGGCGAGGAGAAAAGGGGCTGCTTGTTGGAGTGGCGAGGAGAAAAGGGGCTGCTTGTTGGAGTGGCGAGGAGAAAAGGGGCTGCTTGTTGGAGTGGCGAGGAGAAAAGGGGCTGCTTGTTGGAGTGGCGAGGAGAAAAGGGGCTGCTTGTTGGAGTGGCGAGGAGAAAAGGGGCTGCTTGTTGGAGTGGCGAGGAGAAAAGGGGCTGCTTGTTGGAGTGGCGAGGAGAAAAGGGGCTGCTTGTTGGAGTGGCGAGGAGAAAAGGGGCTGCTTGTTGGAGTGGCGAGGAGAAAAGGGGCTGCTTGTTGGAGTGGCGAGGAGAAAAGGGGCTGCTTGTTGGAGTGGCGAGGAGAAAAGGGGCTGCTTGTTGGAGTGGCGAGGAGAAAAGGGGCTGCTTGTTGGAGTGGCGAGGAGAAAAGGGGCTGCTTGTTGGAGTGGCGAGGAGAAAAGGGGCTGCTTGTTGGAGTGGCGAGGAGAAAAGGGGCTGCTTGTTGGAGTGGCGAGGAGAAAAGGGGCTGCTTGTTGGAGTGGCGAGGAGAAAAGGGGCTGCTTGTTGGAGTGGCGAGGAGAAAAGGGGCTGCTTGTTGGAGTGGCGAGGAGAAAAGGGGCTGCTTGTTGGAGTGGCGAGGAGAAAAGGGGCTGCTTGTTGGAGTGGCGAGGAGAAAAGGGGCTGCTTGTTGGAGTGGCGAGGAGAAAAGGGGCTGCTTGTTGGAGTGGCGAGGAGAAAAGGGGCTGCTTGTTGGAGTGGCGAGGAGAAAAGGGGCTGCTTGTTGGAGTGGCGAGGAGAAAAGGGGCTGCTTGTTGGAGTGGCGAGGAGAAAAGGGGCTGCTTGTTGGAGTGGCGAGGAGAAAAGGGGCTGCTTGTTGGAGTGGCGAGGAGAAAAGGGGCTGCTTGTTGGAGTGGCGAGGAGAAAAGGGGCTGCTTGTTGGAGTGGCGAGGAGAAAAGGGGCTGCTTGTTGGAGTGGCGAGGAGAAAAGGGGCTGCTTGTTGGAGTGGCGAGGAGAAAAGGGGCTGCTTGTTGGAGTGGCGAGGAGAAAAGGGGCTGCTTGTTGGAGTGGCGAGGAGAAAAGGGGCTGCTTGTTGGAGTGGCGAGGAGAAAAGGGGCTGCTTGTTGGAGTGGCGAGGAGAAAAGGGGCTGCTTGTTGGAGTGGCGAGGAGAAAAGGGGCTGCTTGTTGGAGTGGCGAGGAGAAAAGGGGCTGCTTGTTGGAGTGGCGAGGAGAAAAGGGGCTGCTTGTTGGAGTGGCGAGGAGAAAAGGGGCTGCTTGTTGGAGTGGCGAGGAGAAAAGGGGCTGCTTGTTGGAGTGGCGAGGAGAAAAGGGGCTGCTTGTTGGAGTGGCGAGGAGAAAAGGGGCTGCTTGTTGGAGTGGCGAGGAGAAAAGGGGCTGCTTGTTGGAGTGGCGAGGAGAAAAGGGGCTGCTTGTTGGAGTGGCGAGGAGAAAAGGGCTGCTTGTTGGAGTGGCGAGGAGAAAAGGGGCTGCTTGTTGGAGTGGCGAGGAGAAAAGGGGCTGCTTGTTGGAGTGGCGAGGAGAAAAGGGGCTGCTTGTTGGAGTGGCGAGGAGAAAAGGGGCTGCTTGTTGGAGTGGCGAGGAGAAAAGGGGCTGCTTGTTGGAGTGGCGAGGAGAAAAGGGGCTGCTTGTTGGAGTGGCGAGGAGAAAAGGGGCTGCTTGTTGGAGTGGCGAGGAGAAAAGGGGCTGCTTGTTGGAGTGGCGAGGAGAAAAGGGGCTGCTTGTTGGAGTGGCGAGGAGAAAAGGGGCTGCTTGTTGGAGTGGCGAGGAGAAAAGGGGCTGCTTGTTGGAGTGGCGAGGAGAAAAGGGGCTGCTTGTTGGAGTGGCGAGGAGAAAAGGGGCTGCTTGTTGGAGTGGCGAGGAGAAAAGGGGCTGCTTGTTGGAGTGGCGAGGAGAAAAGGGGCTGCTTGTTGGAGTGGCGAGGAGAAAAGGGGCTGCTTGTTGGAGTGGCGAGGAGAAAAGGGGCTGCTTGTTGGAGTGGCGAGGAGAAAAGGGGCTGCTTGTTGGAGTGGCGAGGAGAAAAGGGGCTGCTTGTTGGAGTGGCGAGGAGAAAAGGGGCTGCTTGTTGGAGTGGCGAGGAGAAAAGGGGCTGCTTGTTGGAGTGGCGAGGAGAAAAGGGGCTGCTTGTTGGAGTGGCGAGGAGAAAAGGGGCTGCTTGTTGGAGTGGCGAGGAGAAAAGGGGCTGCTTGTTGGAGTGGCGAGGAGAAAAGGGGCTGCTTGTTGGAGTGGCGAGGAGAAAAGGGGCTGCTTGTTGGAGTGGCGAGGAGAAAAGGGGCTGCTTGTTGGAGTGGCGAGGAGAAAAGGGGCTGCTTGTTGGAGTGGCGAGGAGAAAAGGGGCTGCTTGTTGGAGTGGCGAGGAGAAAAGGGGCTGCTTGTTGGAGTGGCGAGGAGAAAAGGGGCTGCTTGTTGGAGTGGCGAGGAGAAAAGGGGCTGCTTGTTGGAGTGGCGAGGAGAAAAGGGGCTGCTTGTTGGAGTGGCGAGGAGAAAAGGGGCTGCTTGTTGGAGTGGCGAGGAGAAAAGGGGCTGCTTGTTGGAGTGGCGAGGAGAAAAGGGGCTGCTTGTTGGAGTGGCGAGGAGAAAAGGGGCTGCTTGTTGGAGTGGCGAGGAGAAAAGGGGCTGCTTGTTGGAGTGGCGAGGAGAAAAGGGGCTGCTTGTTGGAGTGGCGAGGAGAAAAGGGGCTGCTTGTTGGAGTGGCGAGGAGAAAAGGGGCTGCTTGTTGGAGTGGCGAGGAGAAAAGGGGCTGCTTGTTGGAGTGGCGAGGAGAAAAGGGGCTGCTTGTTGGAGTGGCGAGGAGAAAAGGGGCTGCTTGTTGGAGTGGCGAGGAGAAAAGGGGCTGCTTGTTGGAGTGGCGAGGAGAAAAGGGGCTGCTTGTTGGAGTGGCGAGGAGAAAAGGGGCTGCTTGTTGGAGTGGCGAGGAGAAAAGGGGCTGCTTGTTGGAGTGGCGAGGAGAAAAGGGGCTGCTTGTTGGAGTGGCGAGGAGAAAAGGGGCTGCTTGTTGGAGTGGCGAGGAGAAAAGGGGCTGCTTGTTGGAGTGGCGAGGAGAAAAGGGGCTGCTTGTTGGAGTGGCGAGGAGAAAAGGGGCTGCTTGTTGGAGTGGCGAGGAGAAAAGGGGCTGCTTGTTGGAGTGGCGAGGAGAAAAGGGGCTGCTTGTTGGAGTGGCGAGGAGAAAAGGGGCTGCTTGTTGGAGTGGCGAGGAGAAAAGGGGCTGCTTGTTGGAGTGGCGAGGAGAAAAGGGGCTGCTTGTTGGAGTGGCGAGGAGAAAAGGGGCTGCTTGTTGGAGTGGCGAGGAGAAAAGGGGCTGCTTGTTGGAGTGGCGAGGAGAAAGGGGCTGCTTGTTGGAGTGGCGAGGAGAAAAGGGGCTGCTTGTTGGAGTGGCGAGGAGAAAAGGGGCTGCTTGTTGGAGTGGCGAGGAGAAAAGGGGCTGCTTGTTGGAGTGGCGAGGAGAAAAGGGGCTGCTTGTTGGAGTGGCGAGGAGAAAAGGGGCTGCTTGTTGGAGTGGCGAGGAGAAAAGGGGCTGCTTGTTGGAGTGGCGAGGAGAAAAGGGGCTGCTTGTTGGAGTGGCGAGGAGAAAAGGGGCTGCTTGTTGGAGTGGCGAGGAGAAAAGGGGCTGCTTGTTGGAGTGGCGAGGAGAAAAGGGGCTGCTTGTTGGAGTGGCGAGGAGAAAAGGGGCTGCTTGTTGGAGTGGCGAGGAGAAAAGGGGCTGCTTGTTGGAGTGGCGAGGAGAAAAGGGGCTGCTTGTTGGAGTGGCGAGGAGAAAAGGGGCTGCTTGTTGGAGTGGCGAGGAGAAAAGGGGCTGCTTGTTGGAGTGGCGAGGAGAAAAGGGGCTGCTTGTTGGAGTGGCGAGGAGAAAAGGGGCTGCTTGTTGGAGTGGCGAGGAGAAAAGGGGCTGCTTGTTGGAGTGGCGAGGAGAAAAGGGGCTGCTTGTTGGAGTGGCGAGGAGAAAAGGGGCTGCTTGTTGGAGTGGCGAGGAGAAAAGGGGCTGCTTGTTGGAGTGGCGAGGAGAAAAGGGGCTGCTTGTTGGAGTGGCGAGGAGAAAAGGGGCTGCTTGTTGGAGTGGCGAGGAGAAAAGGGGCTGCTTGTTGGAGTGGCGAGGAGAAAAGGGGCTGCTTGTTGGAGTGGCGAGGAGAAAAGGGGCTGCTTGTTGGAGTGGCGAGGAGAAAAGGGGCTGCTTGTTGGAGTGGCGAGGAGAAAAGGGGCTGCTTGTTGGAGTGGCGAGGAGAAAAGGGGCTGCTTGTTGGAGTGGCGAGGAGAAAAGGGGCTGCTTGTTGGAGTGGCGAGGAGAAAAGGGGCTGCTTGTTGGAGTGGCGAGGAGAAAAGGGGCTGCTTGTTGGAGTGGCGAGGAGAAAAGGGGCTGCTTGTTGGAGTGGCGAGGAGAAAAGGGGCTGCTTGTTGGAGTGGCGAGAGAAAAGGGGCTGCTTGTTGGAGTGGCGAGGAGAAAAGGGGCTGCTTGTTGGAGTGGCGAGGAGAAAAGGGGCTGCTTGTTGGAGTGGCGAGGAGAAAAGGGGCTGCTTGTTGGAGTGGCGAGGAGAAAAGGGGCTGCTTGTTGGAGTGGCGAGGAGAAAAGGGGCTGCTTGTTGGAGTGGCGAGGAGAAAAGGGGCTGCTTGTTGGAGTGGCGAGGAGAAAAGGGGCTGCTTGTTGGAGTGGCGAGGAGAAAAGGGGCTGCTTGTTGGAGTGGCGAGGAGAAAAGGGGCTGCTTGTTGGAGTGGCGAGGAGAAAAGGGGCTGCTTGTTGGAGTGGCGAGGAGAAAAGGGGCTGCTTGTTGGAGTGGCGAGGAGAAAAGGGCTGCTTGTTGGAGTGGCGAGGAGAAAAGGGGCTGCTTGTTGGAGTGGCGAGGAGAAAAGGGGCTGCTTGTTGGAGTGGCGAGGAGAAAAGGGGCTGCTTGTTGGAGTGGCGAGGAGAAAAGGGGCTGCTTGTTGGAGTGGCGAGGAGAAAAGGGGCTGCTTGTTGGAGTGGCGAGGAGAAAAGGGGCTGCTTGTTGGAGTGGCGAGGAGAAAAGGGGCTGCTTGTTGGAGTGGCGAGGAGAAAAGGGGCTGCTTGTTGGAGTGGCGAGGAGAAAAGGGGCTGCTTGTTGGAGTGGCGAGGAGAAAAGGGGCTGCTTGTTGGAGTGGCGAGGAGAAAAGGGGCTGCTTGTTGGAGTGGCGAGGAGAAAAGGGGCTGCTTGTTGGAGTGGCGAGGAGAAAAGGGGCTGCTTGTTGGAGTGGCGAGGAGAAAAGGGGCTGCTTGTTGGAGTGGCGAGGAGAAAAGGGGCTGCTTGTTGGAGTGGCGAGGAGAAAAGGGGCTGCTTGTTGGAGTGGCGAGGAGAAAAGGGGCTGCTTGTTGGAGTGGCGAGGAGAAAAGGGGCTGCTTGTTGGAGTGGCGAGGAGAAAAGGGGCTGCTTGTTGGAGTGGCGAGGAGAAAAGGGGCTGCTTGTTGGAGGGGCGAGGAGAAAAGGGCTGCTTGTTGGAGTGGCGAGGAGAAAAGGGGCTGCTTGTTGGAGTGGCGAGGAGAAAAGGGGCTGCTTGTTGGAGTGGCGAGGAGAAAAGGGGCTGCTTGTTGGAGTGGCGAGGAGAAAAGGGGCTGCTTGTTGGAGTGGCGAGGAGAAAAGGGGCTGCTTGTTGGAGTGGCGAGGAGAAAAGGGGCTGCTTGTTGGAGTGGCGAGGAGAAAAGGGGCTGCTTGTTGGAGTGGCGAGGAGAAAAGGGGCTGCTTGTTGGAGTGGCGAGGAGAAAAGGGGCTGCTTGTTGGAGTGGCGAGGAGAAAAGGGGCTGCTTGTTGGAGTGGCGAGGAGAAAAGGGGCTGCTTGTTGGAGTGGCGAGGAGAAAAGGGGCTGCTTGTTGGAGTGGCGAGGAGAAAAGGGGCTGCTTGTTGGAGTGGCGAGGAGAAAAGGGGCTGCTTGTTGGAGTGGCGAGGAGAAAAGGGGCTGCTTGTTGGAGTGGCGAGGAGAAAAGGGGCTGCTTGTTGGAGTGGCGAGGAGAAAAGGGGCTGCTTGTTGGAGTGGCGAGGAGAAAAGGGGCTGCTTGTTGGAGTGGCGAGGAGAAAGGGGCTGCTTGTTGGAGTGGCGAGGAGAAAAGGGGCTGCTTGTTGGAGTGGCGAGGAGAAAAGGGGCTGCTTGTTGGAGTGGCGAGGAGAAAAGGGGCTGCTTGTTGGAGTGGCGAGGAGAAAAGGGGCTGCTTGTTGGAGTGGCGAGGAGAAAAGGGGCTGCTTGTTGGAGTGGCGAGGAGAAAAGGGGCTGCTTGTTGGAGTGGCGAGGAGAAAAGGGGCTGCTTGTTGGAGTGGCGAGGAGAAAAGGGGCTGCTTGTTGGAGTGGCGAGGAGAAAAGGGGCTGCTTGTTGGAGTGGCGAGGAGAAAAGGGGCTGCTTGTTGGAGTGGCGAGGAGAAAAGGGGCTGCTTGTTGGAGTGGCGAGGAGAAAAGGGGCTGCTTGTTGGAGTGGCGCGGAGAAAAGGGGCTGCTTGTTGGAGTGGCGAGGAGAAAAGGGGCTGCTTGTTGGAGTGGCGAGGAGAAAAGGGGCTGCTTGTTGGAGTGGCGAGGAGAAAAGGGGCTGCTTGTTGGAGTGGCGAGGAGAAAAGGGGCTGCTTGTTGGAGTGGCGAGGAGAAAAGGGGCTGCTTGTTGGAGTGGCGAGGAGAAAAGGGGCTGCTTGTTGGAGTGGCGAGGAGAAAAGGGGCTGCTTGTTGGAGTGGCGAGGAGAAAAGGGCTGCTTGTTGGAGTGGCGAGGAGAAAAGGGGCTGCTTGTTGGAGTGGCGAGGAGAAAAGGGGCTGCTTGTTGGAGTGGCGAGGAGAAAAGGGGCTGCTTGTTGGAGTGGCGAGGAGAAAAGGGGCTGCTTGTTGGAGTGGCGAGGAGAAAAGGGGCTGCTTGTTGGAGTGGCGCGGAGAAAAGGGGCTGCTTGTTGGAGTGGCGAGGAGAAAAGGGGCTGCTTGTTGGAGTGGCGAGGAGAAAAGGGGCTGCTTGTTGGAGTGGCGAGGAGAAAAGGGGCTGCTTGTTGGAGTGGCGAGGAGAAAAGGGGCTGCTTGTTGGAGTGGCGAGGAGAAAAGGGGCTGCTTGTTGGAGTGGCGCGGAGAAAAGGGGCTGCTTGTTGGAGTGGCGCGGAGAAAAGGGGCTGCTTGTTGGAGTGGCGAGGAGAAAAGGGGCTGCTTGTTGGAGTGGCGAGGAGAAAAGGGGCTGCTTGTTGGAGTGGCGAGGAGAAAAGGGGCTGCTTGTTGGAGTGGCGCGGAGAAAAGGGGCTGCTTGTTGGAGTGGCGCGGAGAAAAGGGGCTGCTTGTTGGAGTGGCGAGGAGAAAAGGGGCTGCTTGTTGGAGTGGCGAGGAGAAAAGGGGCTGCTTGTTGGAGTGGCGAGGAGAAAAGGGGCTGCTTGTTGGAGTGGCGAGGAGAAAAGGGGCTGCTTGTTGGAGTGGCGAGGAGAAAAGGGGCTGCTTGTTGGAGTGGCGAGGAGAAAAGGGGCTGCTTGTTGGAGTGGCGAGGAGAAAAGGGGCTGCTTGTTGGAGTGGCGAGGAGAAAAGGGGCTGCTTGTTGGAGTGGCGAGGAGAAAAGGGGCTGCTTGTTGGAGTGGCGAGGAGAAAAGGGGCTGCTTGTTGGAGTGGCGAGGAGAAAAGGGGCTGCTTGTTGGAGTGGCGAGGAGAAAAGGGGCTGCTTGTTGGAGTGGCGAGGAGAAAAGGGGCTGCTTGTTGGAGTGGCGAGGAGAAAAGGGGCTGCTTGTTGGAGTGGCGCGGAGAAAAGGTGCTGCTTGTTGGAGTGGCGAGGAGAAAAGGGGCTGCTTGTTGGAGTGGCGAGGAGAAAAGGGGCTGCTTGTTGGAGTGGCGAGGAGAAAAGGGGCTGCTTGTTGGAGTGGCGAGGAGAAAAGGGGCTGCTTGTTGGAGTGGCGAGGAGAAAAGGGGCTGCTTGTTGGAGTGGCGAGGAGAAAAGGGGCTGCTTGTTGGAGTGGCGAGGAGAAAAGGGGCTGCTTGTTGGAGTGGCGAGGAGAAAAGGGGCTGCTTGTTGGAGTGGCGAGGAGAAAAGGGGCTGCTTGTTGGAGTGGCGAGGAGAAAAGGGGCTGCTTGTTGGAGTGGCGAGGAGAAAAGGGGCTGCTTGTTGGAGTGGCGAGGAGAAAAGGGGCTGCTTGTTGGAGTGGCGAGGAGAAAAGGGGCTGCTTGTTGGAGTGGCGAGGAGAAAAGGGGCTGCTTGTTGGAGTGGCGCGGAGCTCGATTGCGGTGCGTGCGACAGAGTCGACAACAGAGTGAAGCGGAGAGTGCGCGAGTGCGCACCATTTGAAGTGACTGAAAACGTTCGGAGGTCACTTAGAGCGGCATGTTTGAGGATTCGCACACACTGTTACAACACGCGAGAAGGCTCGTCAGACTAGTAAGCGGCAGGCGGCATGCGAGCAGCAGATGCCTATTGCGACGCCTCGAGCGCATAATGAAACATTCGTGAACGCCGCTCGTCGGGCGCTAGTGAGCGGAAGGCAGCGCGTGTGAGGCGTGGACTTGGAAACGCCGTGAGCGACCTGTTCTGTCGCTCCACGTCGCTCGGCGTCAATGCCCCGTCGCGCGCTACCTTCGTAATCGCGTATCACGGCGAGTCGCACGTGCGACGGAAAGGAATCGGACGCGCAATGGAAGTGCAAGCGTCGCACTTGGATCCACTCGCTAGCATGATCGACACCCAGCACCATCGCCTCGCTAGCATGATCGACACCCGGCACCATCGCCTCGCTAGCATGATCGACACCCGGCACCATCGCCTCGCTAGCATGATCGACACCCAGCACCATCGCCTCGCTAGCATGATCGACACCCGGCACCATCGCCTCGCTAGCATGATCGACACCCGGCACCATCGCCTCGCTAGCATGATCGACACCCAGCACCATCGCCTCGCTAGCATGATCGACACCCGGCACCATCGCCTCGCTAGCATGATCGACACCCGGCACCATCGCCTCGCTAGCATGATCGACACCCGGCACCAACGCCTCGCTAGCATGATCGACACCCGGCACCGTCGCCTCGCTAGCATGATCGACACCCAGCACCATCGCCTCGCTAGCATGATCGACACCCGGCACCATCGCCTCGCTAGCATGATCGACACCCAGCACCATCGCCTCGCTAGCATGATCGACACCCGGCACCATCGCCTCGCTAGCATGATCGACACCCGGCACCATCGCCTCGCTAGCATGATCGACACCCGGCACCATCGCCTCGCTAGCATGATCGACACCCGGCACCATCGCCTCGCTAGCATGATCGACACCCGGCACCATCGCCTCGCTAGCATGATCGACACCCGGCACCATCGCCTCGCTAGCATGATCGACACCCAGCACCATCGCCTCGCTAGCATGATCGACACCCGGCACCATCGCCTCGCTAGCACGATCGACACCCGGCACCATCGCCTCGCTAGCATGATCGACACCCGGCACCATCGCCTCGCTAGCATGATCGACACCCGGCACCATCGCCTCGCTAGCATGATCGACACCCAGCACCATCGCCTCGCTAGCATGATTGACACCCGGCACCATCGCCTCGCTAGCATGATCGACACCCAGCACCATCGCGCCCTGCTGGTGATTCTTGAGACGACTCGAAATACACCTGTCCTGTGGCCGGCGCCAAGCACGCGCAACATCACCTTGCGATGCCTTTCGAGTCGACTCAAAAGTCGCGTCGCATCGTGTTTTCGAAAAATGCAAAAATGTTTTGACAATGCTTGTCGCGTGGGAACGTGGTCTGAAAAACGCCATGCGAGTCAAAATCGCGTCGCACCTGCATCCACTTGCTCGTGTGGTCAGCGCCGAGCACCATCGCGCGCTCCTGAACGAGACGCGCAGGCTGCTGCTGCTGACTCAGCAGCGCGCCGCACGATCGACCGCGCCGAGCCACTGCGGCGAAAAGCCGGGAAGCCATTGAGCGCACCGCAAACAACTCTGGAATGCTACAAGCTCGGGAAGCAGCACGAGTGCGTGCTACGAGCTGGGGCAATACTAAGAGTGTGGGTAGGACTCGCGAGTTCGTAGCGAGGTAGAATTATGGCTTTCTAAACCTGCTGTCTGTGGGCTGTGTTCGTGTACCAATTTCGGAAACTCATACAACTTAGAATTTCGCAACCACCCACCCTCCGAGACTTGAAGATGTGAAGTGCTCAAAACTGATTGAAACTCTTAATTAAAAAGGACCCGGCACGAAACCAGCCTGCGATGAGGGCCCAAATATGCCACCTTGTAAGTACCCCAACCGGCAGCGAGAACCGAACAGGCGTCGTGTCAACATGTAAATACGCCTTACCCTATTACGCGAACTCACACTAAGAGAATTCCCCCTAATACCTTCCACGCGAACGCCGAAAAAAACTAGCGGACTCCTGGGGGAAGCTTAGGCAAGTCTGATCCCATCGCCGCGCTTGCCGCATCCTCCTCGCTAGCCAGCGCAGCGACCACTCGAACCCCGGTTCCATCCGCCATCCTCCTCCGTCCGCCATCCACTCCTGCGCTCTATCGCACCGCTTATCACGCTCGTCGTTACCTCGACCCCATCTTCGCAACTACGCTCGACCTGATTGTTCTGCCTTACGGATCGATCTCTCTTATATCTCATCGCCGGTCCCGCCGGCTCATCCGCGATCCGTTGCGGCCGTTGCGGCTCCAGAGTGGACTCGCACGTCCGGGTTAGGGTTTGCCCCCGCGTCGCGTCGCGCCAACTTTCTCGGCTTGTCGAGAGAGAAATTGAGCACGCGAGGCGACGCGACGCGCCGCGAGGCGAGGCGACGCGATGGGGTGGAAGCCGGCACAAACGGCGATCCGCGCGTGGAAGATTCTGCGCGGCGACAAGGTGAGCGGGGCGGAGGGGATGCGCGGCGTCACCCCGCCCCCTCCCAGTGCTTCCCCCACTCGCTTTGCCACCATGCTTGCCTGCTGTGCCTCGTGCCCCCCCCTGCTTGGTGATGCTTATGGCGAGCCAGGACCGCGGGATCACACGTGAATGAACTTCAAACAAGACTTTACTTCATTCTTCGCCCCCATTCCCTCCCCGTGGGCCCCCCATCGCCCTCCCCGTCGCCCCTCCATCTCCCCCACCCCCATGACCCCCCATGGGCCCCATGGTCCCCCATGGCCCCCAGTGGTGCTGGCGGGCAAGGCGTAAGAGTCGACTCTAGAGCAACAGTACTGCGCCCTTCTCCTTCCTCCCCCTCCCTCTGCCCCCTCAGGTGATGGTGATGGCGGGCAAGGACCGCGGGCAGACGTGTGAGTCGACTCAATATGCACCTTCGTTTATGCCTCCCGTCATGCTTCTACACATTGCCCCTTCCCCCCCAGGTCATGGTGATGGCGGGCAAGGACCGCGGGCAGACGGGCACGGTGACGGCTGTGCTCAAGGACAAGAACCGCGTCGTGGTGGAGGGGCTGAATCTGGTGAGGTTGGTGATGAGGGGGAGGGGAAGGGGTTATAGTGGCAAGACGGGGGTTATGGAGGAGGGATGGAGGGGGTTATAGCAGGCGGCGATGAGGGGCGCCATGTGGTGGTGGTTGAGCCTTGGAGAGGCTCCACCTCGTGAGTCTGGCAGGGAGACGTGTGTGAGTTGCTTTTTGGGGAGGAGGGGGGTTTGTCGTGTGGAGGGTTGCGGTGGGGGATGGTGGGGGGAACGGAGTGGGCGGCGCGAGTTATAGCAGGCAGGCATGGCATGGGCAGGGGGAATGGGGACGAATGGGGGGAAGCGGGCACGAATGGGGGAGAGCAGGTAGTGGGACAGTAGCCGGGGTCAAATGGGGGCACGAATGTCGAATGAAGCCTACTGCAATCGTGTCACTCAGCCCAGCTTCTGGGGAGGTAGATATGAAAAAACAGTAGCAGATCGACAAACCCAACTTCTTGTTCCAGAGAGTGTTTCCAAGAAAATGGGTTTGTCAGTCCGCTACTGTTCTTCATACCTACCTCCTTAGAAACTGAGCTGAGTGACACGATTGCAGTAGGCTTCATTTAACATTCATTTCACAGTGTGGCAGCCGGGGTGGAACAGGTGTGCAGTGGAGGAGCGTGGGGCACGGCACACACACACCATGCACTGTGGAACTGTAGTCCTGGTCTGGAGTGGTGTCGGGTGTGTGGGGGGGAAACAGAATGGAGTGGAGTTGAGTGGATTGAGTGAGACGGCTGTTGCACGCTACGCCAGGCTCCTCGGTGTGGACGACCTTGGAGAAGCACGGGTGAACAAGACACCGCATTCAACCCATGCGCCATCCTTACGTGCAAACGTCTCACCACCCCCACCCCTGCTTCCCGCCTGCTCCTTCCCCCCTTTCCCCGCCCCTCCACACTTTCCAGTCGACTCAAAAGTCCTCTCAACCTTTTCCCACCCCTCCACACCTGTCTCTCCCCTTTCCCTCATCCTTTCTTACCCCACCCATCTCGTCTCCATATCCCCAACAACCGCCCAGGGCATGATGAGGCGCCCAGGGCATGATGAGGCGCCCATGCATCCCCCTATCGCGCTCACTGCTTCACCACACACGTTCCCTCACAGTGTGTTTCACCATCCAACCCCCTCCTCCCCCCTCTCTCCCCTTACCCGCCCTCCTCCTCGTCTGTGGGCTGGCTTTTGCACATCCCGCTTTGTTCCCTTGAGGGGTGTTCCCCACATTGGCCACTGGACAGCAGCCAGCGCCAACTCATGTGGCGCTCACGTCACTCTCAACTACTCCTCCTTCCCCCACCCGGCAGCCGAAGAAGCACTCCTCTCACCGCCCAACTGCCCTCCTCTGGTCCCCTCACGAGGCGGAGAGCACTGGAACAAGTGAGGGGACCCGACAGGCACAGTGATTCCAGTGAAACCACGCATTCACCCAGCAGCGCACTTGCCACTGCTTCCAACGCCCACCACCCTCTCTCCCCCATGTGTTGCCCCCCCCCCCCTCCTCCCATCTGCTTCCCTTTCTCTGTCCGACCTTGCCTGCCTGCCTTGCCTTGCCTTGCCTTGTGTTGCCTTGCGTTGTTGCGCGACAGGAGAAGAAGCACGTGAAGAAGTCAGCAGACTCGCCCGGGGGAGTGATTACAGTGGAGGCACCCACCCATCCACCCAGCATCCGCTGATTCCATCGCGCACCACCCTCTCTCCCCCACATGTTGTCCTCCCCCATCTACTCCCCTTCTCCCGCACCACCGCCCTGCCTTTCCGGTCCCCCCTGCAGGCGAAGAAGCACGTGAAGAAGTCAGCGGACTCGCCAGGGGGAGTGATCACAGTGGAGGCGCCCATCCACCTCTCCAACCTCTCCCTGCTCGACCCTCACACCGGGTATGTGCCTGCACTGCTGTCTGCACCCACGTGCCTGCATTTTAGTCTGCACAAGCGAGCCTTGGAGTGGCGTGATTGCCACGAGGACGCCATCTCTCCAACCCCTCTCTGCTACACCCTCACCCCAGGTATGTGGGGCCACCGGCCTAGTGATGAGCATGGCATGGCATGGCATGGCATGGCATGGCGTGGCATGGCATAACATGATATGACATGCTCACTCACTGCCCTGTCCCTCTGTGTGCACCGCACTGTATGCATTTCTTCCATTATGCCAGATTGTGTTGCAGCACCGCACCGCACCGCACCGCACAGCACAGCACAGCACAGCACAGCACGGCACGGCACGGCACGGAAGTGCGGCCGCACTGACAGCCTCCTTTCCTCCCTCCCTACTTCATCTCCCTCCTCCATCCTTCCGCTCGGCTCTCCCACTTCCCTCGTCTCGCCTCTCCCATTGCCCCGCATTTTGCCATTGTGGCTTGGCGCCACACATAGGACCAAGCCAAGTGAGGGTGGGGGCGCCCACGACAGCGACGTTCAGCCAAAAGCTCCGGCCCCTCTTTACTCTTCCCACTTTCCATTCTTCTCCCCAGTCTTTTTTCCTCTCACTAACCTCTCCCGTCCCCCCATCCCACCGCAGAGCCCCATGCCGGATGGCGTTTCGCTATACGCAGGAGGGCGCCAAGGTGAGGGTGGCGGCGGGCTGGTGATTTTCGGGCATTCATATCGGTCCTTTGTTTTATTTCCTCACTCTCTCCGTCCCCTCTCTCACCTCTCTCTCCTCTTCCATACCCCTCCAGAACCCCATGCGGCGTGGCGTTCCGATCCAATACACAGAGGACACCAAGGTGGGGGTGGGCACAAGTGACATGCCCACCCGAAACCTCCCTCTTAATCCTTCATCTCCCCCTCTTTCCATTTTTCTTCCCCTCTTTCTTCCCCTACTCTTCCCTCCCACTACCCTCTCCCAACCCCCCATGTCATCCCCCACCACAGAGCGCCATGTCGGGTGGCGTTCCGCTACACGGAGGAGGGCGCCAAGGTGAGGGTGGCGGCGGGCAGGAGTGCCTCAGGGGCCGTCATCCCTCGCCCTGAAATCCTCAAGAACCGCCGTACACCGCTCCCCACCGAAGGTGACCCACGCGCCTCTCTTCTACCCCCACCCGCCCAGTGCCTCTTGTGTTGGCACCCACTCACCCACACCTGCCACCGCTCATGCCCGTTGTTCTGGTCACTCTGCACTGCTGGCTACCCAAGGTGACCCGCACCTCTCTCATCTCCCGCTCCACCACTGCTGCTGTGTGTGCTCGCCTGCTCGCTGCCTCTCTTGAAGCCGTGCAGCAACCTTCTGCTCCCTGCCTCCCTGCCTACTCCTCCATGCCTCCATGCCTCCATGCCTCCATGCCTCCATCCCTCTGTGCGCCTGTGTTGCGGTGTCTCTGTGCGCCTGTGTTGCGGTCTCTCTGTGCGCCTGTGTTGCGGTGTCTCTGTGCGCCTGTGTTGCGGTCTCTCTGTGCGCCTGTGTTGCGGTGTCTCTGTGCGCCTGTGTTGCGGTGTCTCTGTGCGCCTGTGTTGCGGTGTCTCTGTGCGCCTGTGTTGCGGTGTCTCTGTGCGCCTGTGTTGCGGTGTCTCTGTGCGCCTGTCTTGGTCTTCCAATCCTCGCACATCCTTGCCCACCACTGGGAGGAACCACCTGCTAACCTCGCCTGGTTGCCCATCCCACTTCCTTCCTGCCAGGGCAACAGCAGTGAGCTTCCATGCTCCTACCTCCTCCACTCACCCTCTCACTCTCCTTCGCTCACTCTCCACACTCTCCCTCCTCATTCACACCCTCCTCCCCCTTACGGCATCTCTCCCGCACTTTCTTTCCCTCCCCTTCCCCTAGCCGGCCCACGAGACACGAGTCCCGAGGCGGCGCATGCAGTGACGTACGACTACCAGTCAGGGGAGGGCGGGCTGCCGCCTTTGGTGTGGCGCAACGAGCGGTGGGAGGTGGACACGGCCAAGTGGCACGCCAGGATTGCAGCTGCTGCCAAGATGCGGGGGTCTGCTGGAACAAGGGGTGCTGCTGGCAAGGCTGTGGGCGGGGCAGGGCACACCTCTAAGGGGGCTGAGAGTCAGGCCAAGGGCAAGTGAGCGGAGCAGAGGGGCTGCGGTGAATGATGGTGGGGGGTTGATGTGATGGGCACTGGCAATGCGTTGGGCGGACGGTGGCTTTGGATCGCTGCTGCCGCCACGATGAGAGGCTCCGCTGGGGTGAGGGGCGCTGCTGGCAAGGCTGCGGCCGGGGCAGGGCGCGGGTCCAAGGGAGCAGAGAGCCAGGCCAAGAGCAAGTGAGCGGGGCACGGCAGGTGGGACGAGGGGCAGTGCTGGCAAGGCTGTGGGCAGGGCAGGGCTGGTTCCAAGGCCAAGGAGGGTGAGGACCCGCCAAGGGCAAGTGAGCTAGGCAGGGGAGTTGTGCCAAGCTGTATGGGCTGCACAGCCTTTAGGAGAAGAAGGCAAGAATGATGACTAGGAAGGAAGCAAGGATGAGTACAAGTAGGGCAATGTCTAACCTTAAAGTGTTGTACTCAGTAGAGGCTACCCCACTACAGCCTACAACATACCGACACCCCCCGGATATGAGCGCCACCCTAGGATAAGCGCCTGGCGCTTTTAATTGGCATATGGCGCTTATATCTGCTCCTCGATTTTAGGCGCATACCTAAAAGACTTACGGATTATAGCCGCATACCTGTGCCTTACACATTATAACCGCCATTTATTTTTTCAAGGGTACACAACAAGTCACTCCTTAAAATTCCTCATAGTTAATCTACAAGTACCGTACATGCAACTAAAGCTAGCATACATCTAACCTACGAGCCTCAAACACAGGCTACCGGTACATCATTTTCCACATCTACCGTACTCTAGTCATCAGCTACGGTGGGATCATCTGGGTCGGCCTCAGAGTCCGACTCAGGTTCCTCTACGTTGTTGCAGAAGAAGCCATCTGCTGCAATCTCATCATCCATGTCTACCTCCTCGCCCTCGAGCTCGTCACGCCTGTGTTGCAGGCAGATCTTGTCCTGGGACCCATCCAGAGCGTTGCTGACGCCGCAGGTGAGAAATGCCAGTTGAATGAGCTCTCTGGGCTCTCTTTGGATCTTGTCCAAGCCGCGGATATCCACTTGAGCGTCAGCTCGGGTGGAGGCTTCTTGATGTTGCCTGCCACGAAATTTAACAACCCAAGTCAGCACGGTTAAAAAAATATAAACACAGACACATGGGCGGCATCTCTCACCTTTCTTCGTCAAGGTGTCGACCCCCTCACTCTCGAACCACTCCTGGTAGAGCTGGCGAACGCCGGCCTTGAAGGAGCGATTCACCGCGACATCTAGGGGTTGAATCTCCGAGGTGCATCCAGCAGGGATCACCGCAGGGACCAGATTCAGCTTGCCGAACTTCTTCTTCACCTCCGGGGTCAGGTGCCCGCGGTACGAATCAAGGACGATCATCGCTTTGCGGGGGCAGACTCCGAACTTGGGGTTGATGTACGGCTTCACCGCTCCGTCGAGCCACGCAATGACACCGTCCGCGTCCATCCAACCGTTGGGATGGACAGACACGTTGATATATGCACAGCAACAGACGCACAGAGAATATTAGTACAATTTTTCAAATAACATCAACATGCAGCCTCGGAATCGACGAGGTAGAAAAGCTTACCTGAAGGGAAATCCCCTTTGGGGATGGTCTTCCTTTTGAAGAAGACCCAGGGCTTCAACTTCTCACCGCCGGTGCAGGCGAGCATCACCGTAACTCGCTCTTTCTGATAGCCGCCGCTGCGGATGGGCACAGAGCGCGACCCAACCTCTTCGATGGTATGTTCGGCTGGCATCTCGAGCCAGAGAGGCGTCTGGTCCGCGTTAATAATCCACGGCAGGTCGATCTTGTACTGGCGGCGGGTGTGACGCACAAACTTCCAGAAGTTCCTGACGTCAGTCTCGCAGTCTGGGAGTGGGGATGGGAGGATGAGAAAGAACAAACACAGGATGAGAGCCGTGAATAGACGGGAACAGACAACCACCACTACACAAATAACAGTAACCGAGAACACACTAAAATAACAACTCACTGGACGAGAGCTTCTGGCCGACCCGGGTCTTCGCTCGGGTAGTCAGGTTCCAGCGGCGGCGAAAGCGCTCAGTCCACCGCTGAGAGCCGGCCCACTTTTCACCTGGGTGTAATTCTTTCATCACCTCGCGCGACCACTTCTGCAGGCGTGCGATCGAGACGGCAAGGCATTTCTTGCGGTGGGCAAGTAACCTCCTGTACACCTCCGCTTCCATGTCGCGATACCACGAGCTCCTTCCGCGCCCATGCAGGCGCTTGCGTGCACCGTGCGCGCCCTCCAGCTCAGCCTTCCGGGTCTTCCACTCCGCGAGCGACCTTCGGGAGATGCCGGATTCGCGAGAAATCCGACGCACACTCATCTCACCAAATTCAAGCTTCAGAATCCACTGCAGCTTCTCCTGCGAGGTGTAAGAATTGCACTTGTGCGTTGTCGGCTTGTGCCTGGGGGAGGGAGGACGGGCATCACGATTCTCGCAGGATGGGTGGGGCCGTTTTTTATTAGGAGGGGGAAAGGTGGGAATTGGAAGGTGCTCGGGAAGACCGTCGGCAGCCCAGAACTCCACGTCGTCCTCGGCACCAGTCGCGGATTCGTCCAACGGGCAATCAGCCGGGTCTCCCCACCGTGAAGACGGTGCGGAGGAAGATGCTTCGGCGCCGCTGCGGTTGGGCTCGGACAGGAAGGCGTCGAACGCCGAGTAGCCAGGGGGGAGGAGAAGCTGCAGAACCCCCTGACGCTGAACACCGACAACAGGCGGGTCAGAGGGGGACGGAGGAGCGGGATGAATAGGAGGCGCCGGGGGAGCGGGAGGGGTAGGAGGCGTTGACATGGTTTGACACACCCCCATAGGCAAAGTGGGGGATAGCAAGAACAACCAATGGTCACAAGACCAGTCAAGCAAGAGAACAAAGCAAAGCAAAGCTCAGGGTGGATCTCAAGATCACCACGCAGTCTGAGCACAAGCAAGCGGCCACAAGGCCAGTTCACATGCAGAGTTATAAAAGCACAAGCAATACAGTGATCACAACCTAGCAAGAGCAAGCATGCAGGTATATATGTATAGATCACAGTACAAGACAAAGTCAAGCAACTGTCGTGAAACAGCTCTGCCTGCCACCTGCGCTCTCCACTGTGTCGTGAAAGCGATTAAGCTCTCACCCCAAGGGTCCTCCCTGAGTGGTGTGTCACCTAGTAGCAAAGCCTGAGGTAACAACGTTCCACTACCGTAATCACCCGGACATACCACCCTAGGGTTTTATGATAACTATAGCAAAAAAAAGGGGGGGGGGGGGGGGGGGGGGGTCTTCTCATCGGAAAAAGCTACATAACACCCGAGTCTTTTTATATGGCATTTTTTAGTGTAAGGATTTTGATGAAAAGACAACTTGGGTGTTTTTAGAATTGGTTTAACATCACAGCTAGAAGCGAGAATGTGGGTTTTGGCGATAACCTTTTCACCCCCCTTGAAATTGCCAGGTGGCACCTTTTTGGCCACTTGTTAGCGAACTATCTACCAGCGTGGCAGCAGCGTAAAAGAGGGAGGGGGGTGATTTTGGCAGATTCTTTCGAAATTACCATGTACCGTAGTTTCATCGAGTAAGTGATTTCCGCGATGTTCAGCAGTACTCGCTAATAGCTATAAATAGAAACTTTGTAAGAAAGGGGGGTGTTATAGAAAATCACCCCAAAAGGGGGGTATAGTAGAAACGAGGTCCGCTATAGCACCCACCCCGCACAAGCCACCCGGGGGGTCTTCAATTTCGGCGGGTGGTATGTCTGGGTGATTACGGTATATGAAAGGATAACACGAGAAAAGCAACGATTGCATGTGTGTTAGTGAATTTACCTGGCCCAGGCTCGAACCATGCATTTCTCAATGTGCGCCTCAAGCCTGGGTTGGTTCGTTCAGATTGGCTGCTTGGATTGCAGCCCTTGATGCTCTCTTAACAACTTCGTGGCATTCTCCCTGTCCCCAACTCCCTACACCCCAAATGTGCACATTCCATTATGCGACCCCCAGAACTACACCGCAACAAACTGTCAAACTATATATGTGTTAGTTCTGTGTAGGCTATAGTGGGGTAGCCCATATGGGGTACAACCCAATGTTAGGGTTAGTACTTGTACCCACATTCTCTTCAATGCAATCATTCCTGCTTTTAGTTTTAACATGGTTTCAGAGCAGGTCCTAGCCTAGGACCGCTTTCTTAGGGCCCACCGTACCGCGCTACCCCACGAGTCGCACCTACTACTGTCGCCCTACCCTGCCCTGCGTTGCGCTGCCGTGCACGCCCTGCCCTGCCCTGCCCGCGCCCTGCTCGCTGCTGCGCGCCGTGCCCTGCCCGCGCGCCTTTTTTCAGCCGCGCGCCCTGCCCTACCCTCGCGCCGCGCTGCCTTACCCGTGCGCCGCGCACCCGCAGCTGCGCGCACTGCCCTGCCCGTGCGCCGCCACCGCGCCCCACGCACTGCGCCGCCCGTCGCCGCGCGTGCCCTGCCCGTGCGCTGCCCGCCGCAGCCGCGCAATGCCCTGCCCGTGCGCCGCCGCCGCGCCCCACGCACAGCGCCGCCCGTAAGCTGCCGCGCGCTGCCCTGCCCGTGCGCCGACGCCGCACCCCGCACCCTGCGCCGCCCGTAAGCCGCGCGCCTGCCCTGCCCGTGCGCCGCCCGCCGCCGCGCACAGCCTCGGCCGTGCGCCGCCGCTGCGCCCCGTACACTGCGCCGCCCGTAAGCCGCGCGCCTGCCCTGCCCGTGCGCCGCCCGCCGCCGCGCACTGCCCTGCCGGCCGGCTGCTGCCCTGCGTGCGTCGCCCGCCACTTGCCCTAAAAGCCGCCTTTTGCCCAGCGCGACGCCTGACTCCTGCCTTGCCGGCCGCTTGCGCCTCTGCTTGCCGCCTGCCCACTGCCCTGCCGCCTTCCCGCCCTGCTCTGCTTCAGATGGCAACCTACAATGTTCTCACCTTTGACGCAGAGGGCCGCCCGATCGAATTTGAAACCTGGCTAGATGACCTTAAGCTCTACCT